ATAAATCTAAGATACTGATTTTTTTGTTCTATTGCTATAAACTCTGATACTGCTCTTAATTACAGAACAATTATTAAGTGTTTGAAAGTGAACTACGTTATTTTAAAAAGTTCCGGAAGGCAACAAAACTCATCTTTAAATTGTTTTTGATTACTTTGAAATCAAGAACCAACTTTCCGTGCGACATGAGCAGGCCCCAAATGAAAAAATGCAGATGGGGTGACATGTGGGCCTTCCAGCACAGTTAACACAGGAACACAGAAGTGGAAATCAGAGGCAGGGGCAGAAGGCAGTGGGAAGGGGGCCTCAGCTTTGTAACCAGAACCATGTGGGCTCTGATCCCCAGCCCTGTCCCTGGGAGCTCTCGCTCTCAGCCAGGGTGCTAATGTTTCTGAGTCTTGGTTTCCCAGCCTATAAAACTCATGTCTACTTTGTCAGATGTCACATGGAATCAAACGAATTCAAACATAAAACAAGAATCACAGAGCCTGGCTTGACGTAAGAACTCAAAAATACAAAATGGTGGTAGTGACGTCCTCATCCATCTTCTATTAAAATAAGTCGGGTAAGAAAATTCAAAGAAAAAATATGGTCAACTCTTAATTGAATATAAGTGAGCCAGAACTTCCTGAAGGAGCAGAACCTGTCACTGAGTGAGGAAGACCTCGAGACCAAAAAGGCCCATTGAGACAAGGCAAATACTATTCACTTTGGATCCCATCTTTAAGACTTAACTTTCTCTGAAAGCTGGCAACAAAGTGAGAGTGTTGAGACAGATCCCTAGAGTAAACACAGGACAAAAAGCTGACACTCTCCAATCTGTCTGTGGCTCAGCTAAGAAATCGAGACTAAGGTCCAAGACTAGAAGTGTGGTATAAGATTCTGAAAAGTGATATGTTCCTTGTATTGTTGATCTTGAGATCCCATTTTCCAGTATTATTAAAATTAAACCTGAAAAGTTAGAAGGTAAACATGTTCAGGAGACTGATTTCTTTGAGGGAATCCCAGCACATGAGAAGGTACAGTAACAGATATTCACAGACAAGCAGGTTGAGTACCAAGGATGTGCGGAAGAAGAAAAAGAGGTTCTGGGATTTAAAGTATGTTTCCAGACAATGATTTAACTCCATTCAACAAAGTTATTTATTAATTTATTTATTTTGCAGTTTTGGGGATTGTACCCAGCAGGGCCTGATGCATGCTAGGTTGGTGCTCAACCATAGAGCTATATCCCCAGTCCACACAAAGATTTTCAAGCAGGGCATAGGAGGCAAAATGTAATCCATTGCCTCCAAGACCCTATATTCTAAGGARTGGGGTGAGATTGGAGAAATTGAGACAATTAAAATAAACCATGTGGTACTGATGTGGTGTGACTTTAAAGAAGGAAGTGATTCATCTGAGTTGGGAGTGAAGAAGCCTTTACACAGAAAGGAAACATCTGAGGTAGGCCTTAAAGAGTGTTTTAAATTTGAATAACAGAGAGGACAGGTGTAGAGCATCCATYCCAAAGGACTGGCCCAGGGAGAGGTGGAACCCCAGTTAAATATGCAGGAGTACCGAGGAGTGAGCAGTTACCTACATGATGTGGTACCTGGAGGGTGTCCAGAGGCTTCTGAAGCTTCACATATGAAGCCCTTTCCTCGGTGTTCTGATCTGGAGCGTCCCCCAAAGGCCTGTGTAGTAAAGGCTTGGTCCTCAGTCTGTGGTGCTACTGGGAGGAAGTGGAACCTTTGAGAGGTGGGGCCTAGGGGGAGGTCCTTGAAGGGGATACTGGGACCCTGGAACCTCCCTCTCTTTCTCTCTGCTTCCTGGACATCACCACTGAACAGAACTTTGGCGTGGACTCCCACCATGATGCACTGTACTTCCACAGGCCCAAAGCAACAGGGTCAAGTGGCCATGAACTGAAACCTCTGTCACCATGAGACAAAATAAACATTTCCCTCTTTAATTTGATTTTGTCACAGGAATGGAAAGCTGACTAATACACTCCTAAGGGTTTCAGACCTATATGTTCATCTATTCATTAAATGTCTTGAACTGAATATCTTGAAACTCTCCAGTTCCCTATGTTCACAATCCAAATTCAATAACCTTACCCCCTTTCAGCCCCGCTATATTCCCAATTTTAAATCTGCTGTCAGTTGTTTGGGAAACCTCAGGATCACCTTTGATTTACACCCCCATCCCTCCAATCCTCTATGTTCATTTGGTCACAACATCCCAATGATTCTCTTTCCTGAGTTTTTCTTGAATCCTATTATGTCATCTGGCACTTTGTCTCTTCATTTCAGGTTCTTTTAGGTAAAAATCTGAACTGTGGAGGTTGAAGCCTTGCTTTATTTGCATGACTTCAGACTAGTTACTTACCATTGCTGTGCCTCAGTTTCCTGATTTTGTTATATGGGGATTATAAATGTACCTACCCTTATGAATTATCGAAAGGACTAATCACACAAAGCAATTGAAAGAGCTGGTGGCATACAGTAAGGATTCAATATTACCATCAAGCATTCCTGTATATTACCATATTATCATTATTATTACAATGTAAACAATCTATGGGCCTTTACTATGCTATTCCTTCTAAGTCTTAAACTTTTTTTAAAATTAACTCTTACAGAGTCTTCATTAAAAGACAAACAAACAAAAACCAAAAACAAACAAACAAACAAAAGCTCCTCTGGTTGAAATGAACTCAAGGAATTTTCCTGGTGCTGGCTTCTGTGGGTACCTGGCTGTGGCTCAGGAGGTACTCTACTGGAGAACTGGCCTCCACAGAGGTTTATCCATCAATCCTACAGTCTAAGCAGAGATCTTCTGAACCACAAATCTGACTGTGTCATCTTTCTGTTTAAAGGCCTTCTAGGACCTTAGCATCATGTTCAACATTGCAATGAGCCACTGATGCATGTGGTGGGGAGAAAGATAGGGCATGGCTCAAAGTCATGCTTACCCAAACTTATCACCATTTCAGAAGAAGTAACTGCAGTTTGGATCAGAGGCATATGATCCAATACCTTTGGATTACTTTTATTGGTGCTTTTAGTTTGGTGTTTTGTTGTTACTATATTTCTGGCCTTAGTTTGAAGAAACTCAGATCCCTGGTCCTTGGTGTGTCTGTACCTCTACTGACATGTGCAGACACAGGTTGGTCCTGATTGAATACAAACACCTCTCTCAACTCCATCAGTGCTCCTCTCCCTGCATCTGGAAAAACTCTCTCCTCTTCATAAGCATGGCTGACAATGAGTGTAGTGTGCTTCTATCAAGGAAGTCACTGAAGTCCTCGGGAAAATTAAATATGAAAAGCATCAGGTTCTAGGGGCTTTAAAACCTTGGTGAACACCTACCAACACTCTCAAGAACCTTTAAGGAAGAGTTCACAGAGGAGRTATTTGAACTCGATCTTATCAACAGCCATTTAACCAGGCCAGGGATTAAAGGGATTACAGGCGGAACTGAATGCTCCAAATTCTATGTTTTTTTGTTTGTTTGTTTATTTTTTAAACACATTGCTCTTTACATATGGGAGCCTCATTGCAGAAAGTAAGAATACACTGAACCATCACTGGTCCCTGCTCCACTGCCTGATTCTTGCTGAGTTCCCCGAGGAAACAGGGCTGGGAGAGTCCAAAGATGGGAAAATTTGTGCCCTAGTCTTGATGTTTCCTTCCAGGGAAGGAAGCTTTAAGGTGCCACACCTCAGGCCTCTCTCTCCCCTCTCTGCTTGCTTTGCTTGGATTCCTAGGTTTGAGAAGAGGAAATCTGGTTTGCTCACCCCAGCACTGTCTTCTCCTTGGGGGAGAACTCCCCCAGGGAGCAGGGAGATGCTCAACCTCTGGGGAACCCTCAGCCTCAGCTGGCCCAACCTGATCCAGCTGTGCCAGGGCCTATCTGGGACTCAGGCTGCAGGTCTTCCCTCGCTCTTACCACCAAGTCCCAGCCTTTGAYTTATTTACCCAAAAAAGGCTGATATTTTATCTTCCTCCAGCCACTCCTTTGTTTTTTCAATCTGTTCAGAATCTGGGTGGAGAAATACAGCACCAGTTAACAGGTCCCTTAAGGATTAGGAGACAGACCAATACGGAGTCTCTAAGATGCAGATCTCAACAGCAGGGGCACACACAACACTGAGTTCCTGAGCAGGAATCCTGCAGCAAGGATCCTAAGGTTCCTCCTCAGCCCGCTTCAGACTTATCTTGATTCTTAATTCCCCCGATGTCCACATTAAAAGGCCGGGACCCCAAAGAAAATGGCCACTGGAAATCCAAATGGTGGGGTACAAACCTGGCAACCGAGACATATTTTAAAGCCCATTTGTTGCTGCTTGGTTTTCCTTTCAAAAATCAATCTTATCCGAAATTCCGCCACTGAATTTTCTTTTTGTACAACGTTATTTTATGCTAACCTTGTTATATGAAATAGAATTTTCTTTTTCACACCTTGAAGCTATAAGAAAGTTTAATTAAAAGGGACAGTAATTTATAAAATAGTTTAATATTTATGACTAGATGAATGATATATTGCTTACTAATTTGTTATGTGCCCGAAGTCAGCAAGTCTGAGGGTTTGGTTGATGGTGCTGTTCATTAAAACATGAGAACTAAGTGCTGTCGCAAGATAACCAAACTTGTTCAGAATACCTCTTCACTGCACTACTGCTAGATACTCTGCAATAACCAGACCTCATGTGCAATGTAAATTTCCTTTTTAAGTCATTTTCAACATCTTAAAGGCAACTTCACCAACTCCCAAATCCCTCTTAAGATTAACTTTTTGCTTAAATCTCATTTTCATGTTTAAAGGTCCATTTGTCGGCCAGCTGGAGGATTTTCTTTCTTTTTTTCTTTTCTTTCATTCTTTCTTTCTTTCTTTTTTTTTTTTTTAAGCAGTTGACAACTGCCCAGCAACAGCAGCCTGTGTTTGCAGTCACTATTTTGGGCTACATCACATGTCACTTACATAACCTTGTTTAACTGCTCTTGAACTGGTTCAAACAACCTGGGAAACAGATCAGGGCAGTCCATGGCAAATTCCCGCATTGCAGATTCTGATGGGTGAGTTCCCATCCCCCACCCCTATCTTAGAGTGCTGCACAGTGAGTACCAGGGTGTCCAAGGAGAACTGGTTATTCATTGTTAGAGCCAACTAAAACATTTGATAATTAACTTCCTCTGCTCAGTTAAAACCAGTCCGGTCTGGCCATAATAAACCAATGAACAATGATCTCCTGCTGCTGAGGTTTATGAGTGAGCCTGGATTAACATGCTCTCAAATGCCAGCAGGCGAAAAGAATCAACTGGAGTATAGCTTGCCTTTGCCACCTTCAAACATCCAACTTTTCAAGTGATGTTTTTAGGATACTAAGATTTTAATTTAGAAATCCAATTGGACTTATTTATCCACCCCCTGCGGTGCTTCAGACGTTTTTTCCAGGAGAGGTAAGCACGAAATTCCTAGATAAACATTTTTTCTTGGAGTGAAAGGTATTTGTTGGTCATTACTAAAAAAAAATTATGTATCTATACATATCTGTACATTATATATCCATACCCATACGTACATGTCTGTATCTGCTGATATAGTCATGACTTAAATTTTAAGCATATTTTAGTAAAAGATAATCAAAGGAAATACATATAACAATCCCAGTGCTATAAGATTTGAACCGGGAGAAACATTTCTTATGGTATACAATAAGACAAGTAAATTAGCAGCGTGGAACAAGGAACCCTTTTTTGGGGGAGTGTGACTTACGTGTTACACACGTTTAGTACTAGGAATTTAACATAGTTGTACTTCACGATGCAAAAACATCTGTTATCTAGATAAACTAATAAGTTATTCAGGGCAGTGGGCAGGGAACTAACATTTGTTGAATTCCTATTATGTGACAGGTGCTTTACCAATCATACAACTGAATCCTTATTTGAAAAATCCTAAGGGGGGAACCTAATGAGATTGGCAAAATGGGGATAAAATGACCAATTAAGACCCACTCAGAGGCTAAATCATGTGACCAGCTTAGCTGGGATTCATGCTCAGAGCTCTATCCCAGCAGTTAATCTATTGGTCCACATCAGTCCATACATACACTTAAACCTAGAGGGAATAAATGGTGCAGAAGCAATCTGTGAAAGGCATATTTAGGCTAACTTACAAAGGATCACCTGCTTTGATGAGGGAAAAGAAAGTCATGAACTGAGGTTGTCCCTCTGATTCCAAAGTCATCATACATGGGATGCCAAACTTGCATCCTGCTGAATTCCTACTTCATCAGAAAGTACCTTCTAAACTCTGGATTTCGAAGCAGACATGTGCACAGTACTGCAGGAGTGGAAAAATCCTGTGTGCTGGGTTCCGAGGAATCAAATTTCATTCATTTTGCCCAACCAGCAAATCCCCCAAGATCTCAAAAGTAGAAATGAGGCCAGGATAGAGAGAAGGGACTCTTGTTCAGCCTCTCTGGACTCAAGCTACTTGTGACATTTTGAAGGTATTAACAGAGTTTGGTGGGTCCTCTAACACACAGCCTGGTTTCTGAATACCAGTATAGCTCCAGACTTAAATGAACCCCAGATGAGAGCTGATATTGGTAACAAGGGACAACTATCATAAACTTCTACCAACAAACTCAATTTTTTGCTAGGAAAGAAATTATGAAACCAGTTGATAGGAGATTGTTTGCACATACATACTGAATTAGGCTAGTGTGGGGTATGGAATATAATGTATGCCTACGGTATGAAATTCAAGAGGCACTGTGGGCCACGTGGTCAAAAAGCTTCCTCTCCCTTAACTACCTAGCTCCCTTTCTGCAAGGCAACCACTGCTATCAATTTCTCTGCATCCTTGCRAAGGCTTTTCTAGGGTACATTTTTCAGCCACCGTAAATATGTTCTGTTTGTGGAGTGAGCATTATTAATTCAAAACGTTGGCTTGTCCTTTTATTAATTCAGCAGATAATTATTGGGTGGCTATTACATGCCAGTGACGGTGACCGGCACTGGGCGGAGAGGTGAACAGGATGAGACCCCTGTCCTCGAGGGACTCCTGCTCCAGTGTGAGAAAAGAGGTTCCTCGACAAATTAAACCCTGGGGCAAGAAAGAACAGCCTGGTATGTGTGCCCCGAGAACACGGAAGAGGAAGGGACTCTCTTTGCCRCAGGAGTCAGAAAAGGCTACGGAGGAGAAAGAACATCAGATGTGTGTTTTAGAGAATGTCGGGTGGAAAGGGTGTTGGAGGAGTTTTCTCACCAAAGAAACAGCCTATTTAACAAATGAGCGTCCTCAGGAGACTTCCTGTGTTCTGGGATGGGTGAGTTTGGTGTGACTGGAACACAGCGGGTGGAGGTGGGGAGGGAGCAGCCTCTGAGACTCAGGACTTGCTGTGCTCTGCTGCGTGGTCTGCTGAGGTCAGTTCAGGTCTAATTTGTGTTGCAGGAAGTTCACTCTGGCAGCTTGATGGCAGATTTCATGGAACAATGGCAAAGGGACTGGTGAAGWTCAGAAGCCAAACCATTCTTTCCAAAGAAGGTAGGTAGCAGGTAACTTCCAACTAATCATCGTCCTCTTGGTTATTCTTTAGCTCCAAACTCGTCTTCCCGTGTCTTAAATGCCTTGACATCCATTCATTATCCAAGCAAGAAAGGCTGAACCCATCCTAAACCACTTATTTCTGGTGTTCCATGGAAATGGCCCATGCTTCTCCAATTTTATAGCTCCAAGTTRTTGACCTGGGCCTCACTGGTCTCTTTACTCTCTCAAACGAGCAGATAATGTGAACACTGGAGAAAAGAATGGCAGCCTCAGAGCTATCTCCTAACTGGCTTTCACATCCAACAATTTTCCCTTTTTATCTGATGATTCTCAATAGAACTGAATCATAATTTCAGTTTGTGTAAACCAAAGTTCCTGTGCTTATGGGGGGGGGGAATGATACAAAAGGCAAACCAGCATATGCTAGAACTTTGAACAAAGTTACTTTACCACTTGAAGTTGATGATTAGAAACTGATAAGGTAATGGAAAAACTAACATTCATTCTTCACAAAATACCTGAGATCATTAACCTACGAGGAGGAAAGGTTTGTTTTGGGTCGGTTTCAGGGGTGCTGCTCCATGGTTGCTTGCCTCTGTTGCTTGGGGCCTGTGGCGGCACAGTACCTGGTAGGGAGCACATGGGAGAGCCACTGTCACCTCATGGCAGCCAGGAAGCAAAGAGAGAGTCACAAAGGGCCAAGGTTCCACTGTCTCCTTCAAGAGCATGCCCCTACTGACCTAATTCCCTCTCTCACAGGTGCCACCTCTTAAAATCCTACCACCTCTCCATAGCACCACAGGCTAGSGATCGAGCCTTCAACAGGGACAGTCCAGGTCCAAACTACGGGAGATAGGGTGGAAGGAAGAAGAATGTGGGAAACTGGGTACACTTGTCTCTCCTCTGAGAAACAAGGCAGGTAGTCTGCTGAGAATCAGAAAGGAAGCAGTAGGAGAGGAACCAGATCATATGCATGGGGTTGCCATACAAATATGATAGACCACAGGAGATGGCAGTAGAGAGGGTGCATCTATGTGGAGCGTGAACTATCCTCTAGGCCGTGAGGCTGGGGAGTGACATTCCTACTGTAGTTAATACTTATGATAGCCCTTTCAAAAGGCAATGTCATCCTTTGTCCTAACCAAAGAAATAAGTAGCTTTCCGTGTTGCTGCACCTGGCCAGTAGTGAGGGTAGGATTTGAACCCAGTCTGACAAAAGACCAGGCTCACAAAAGGCACCTGGCAAGTCACAATGAAATCTTAACACGGCAGGAAACATCTAGTGCTTGCTTTCCAAAAAGACTGTGCACATATTCATTTTAACCATCCACATTTGATCATTTGACTATATTGCTTAAAACAAAAAAAAAATTCCATCTACAAAATAACTTATTTCTTATTTATAGCTGAAACTCAGGACAAGAAAGGCTTCTGATGCAGTTTGTCATGCAGTGATTGGCTCACTGTGGGTGACATTCAGACTGTCACCATTGGTTATGTAGCAGAGTAAACCATTAGCCTTAGGTTTTCTCATCTAGAGAGTCACAAAACTTATCTCATGGGTTGGGGAGCTTATAAAGATTAAATGCAACCATATATGTCTCATGGGTTTGGGGGGATTATAAAGATTAAATACAACCATATATATCTCATGGGTTTTAGGGGATTATAAAGATTAAATACAACCATATATTTAAAATGCAGAACTCCACTTCTGGAATGCACCAGGTGCTCAACAAACCACTTCCCCTTCCCTTGGGTCATGGCCCAGGAGATGGGGAAGCACCTTAGTGCACAAGCAGAACCCTGTTTCTGGAGAAGACTGTTTGGACCTTGGCTCCCCCTCTGACTGACTGCCAGAGCTGGGGCTGGTCCATCTCACCAAGCTTTAGTATCTCCATCTGCAAAACAGGCACAGGAATGGCACCTTTCCTGTACAGCTGCATTTAGCCCTGTCCTGGCCAATCCCAACTGTGGACAAGAGGATCTACTCCCTCCATGCCAGACATGGGATTCAGCATCAAGTTCTTTTTCTACTAGTGAGGCTTGTATGTTAGGCTCAGTTTCTGTTAACAAGGCTCATGCCTCCTCCTCCCACACCCATCCCCTGCCTTGTTGTCTGCAGAGCACACCAACTCTTGCTGGAAACATTCTTAATACTCTGACTCCCCCCAAACCTCAGCCCCACACCTGGGGTTCTGACATCGGTCTTTCTTAAAAGCCCACCTGCCTCTGGAGACTTCTAAATGTGGTCCTCCTCCTGCACTCAAAGACTCCATATCCTGCAGAGCCCAGGGGTTTGGGGTCCTACCTCCTGAGCTATATTTTCTCATAACAACTGTGTCCACACCCATTTACTGTACCACTTCATGACTGAGTCTGATTCACATCTCAGGCTTTTCCAGTTTGCACTACCATTAAAGCATGTCCACAGAAATATTTCCTTTCTTTCAATTATTATCACAGTTATCTTAAATGAAAGAAAATTCAAGAGAAAAATCATAGCTAGTTTATTTGCAATTATATTTTTTTTTCCTTATGTCAGTTTGTCATGAAGGACATGGAAAAGTTACTTTCTTTGACCATTAATAAAGTATATAGATCCACAACTGATTGCCTTACTATCATTGCAATGGTTTGTAAAGAGGAAGACCCCTGCATTTCAGTGGCCCACATAAACAGAAGTTTATCACTGAGGTTTAGTTCACTAGGAGACGATAAATCATCCTGGGATGGTTGCTTCTAGCCCTTATCTTCTAGCCTGTGCATTCCTCTGTTCTTCCASGTCTCCAATCGACAGGTCCTATCTAGACTTAGGTCTTGGGTTGGTCTTGCCTAGGGTTAGAAATTTCTAGAATGTTTCAGCCCCAATTATCCCTTTCCCCCCATCCCATGATGCTGGCCTGAAGAGTTTGCTTAGTATTTCTCCCAACTCTATCTGCCCTTGTTAGAGAGCAGTGCTGTCTGGCCATGCAGGAGTCTCTCAGGACCAAGGTCCCTGTTGAGTCYGAGGGTATGTGCCAAGGAGGTCCTTCCATTCTGCACTCTCCCCTCCTGGAGGAGCGTCTGGTGGGTCAGATTCTACAGATCAGATCCTTTCTGCTAATGGAGAATGAGGTGGGCAGAGAAAGGCCTGCCGTGGTGTTGACACTTCATTAACTCTGGATTTCCCATACCCTCTCCAGTTGGAACTAGATGCAACCTAGCGGATTTTGACCAGGTAATTAATTTTGCCACTTGTCAGTCGGTGTTCCTTGTGCCTACTTCTAAGGGGAGAAAAAAGTGGTGGTCTGAGGTAAGGATGGGCTTCTTTCCCCCATCTCAAGCTTCTTTCCTGGGTACCCCTYTTATACTCCTGGTTTGACCTTACTAGCCCCCCGCCCCCTTATCCCTGCAACTCACAATAATTATTTAAGCTTCTCAAACCATGAGTATAACTCCAACAAGCCAACTGTCCACCTGGATCTTCATTTGCTACATCATCTTGGAGGGCCCAGGCCAACCACTCCTGGACACTGTGGCTGGAAATCGCCATGCCCCTTTGACTCATTCCCGTTTGTCCTAAAATTAGTTCTAAGAACAATASCATGCCACAGAATGGTGAATGAAGAAATTCTGAGATGAAACAATTATAATACAATTAGAATGTGTTTTTGAAGTCTTTCCTATCCCCATGTATCAATACATTATTGTTCCTGGTACTTTAGGCATTTTCACATATTTCTCTATAATCTGTAGATTATTAACTGGCTGGATCATCTGTAAAATGTAGAGATGAGATTATCTCTGTGGTCCCTTCCCTTTGCTTCTGTGGTCCTGAGAAGAGGAAACGGTGAAGAAAAGTCATCCTTAGGATGACAAGGCCATCATCAGGTGATACAGTCCTGCCCTGTGGTCTGTGTAAATATACCCTGTACCTGGTCAAGCCTAACCAAGAGCAAACTGCTAATGGCCAGGGAGAGGAAGCTGTGATCACTGTCCCTCTGCCATGTCAGAGTCTTAGAATTCCATATTGATTAAAGGAATTCAGAAGCAGTCACTGTGGCCTTTGATGAGAAAGGCAGTCAAAGATAAGGGGAATTGCCTTTTAAAAAAAAACAGTTCCAGGGAAATATCCTGGAGATAAAAACAGAGAAACATAAGATTGTGTATATTCACACGCATCTTTTAAATAGCTCCAACCCTGTTGAGAGCTAAACAGTAATCGCACTAGAATCTTAAAAAAGATGTAGAATTTTTCATTATGTATTCCAAGTTAAGATGATAAAATGCAGAAATGAGAGGTTCACTCTACTCTTTCCCTCTGCTCAATCCAGTCCTATCAGCTTTTTTTTTTTTAAGGAGGCTACTTATGTATGAATTTTTATGTTACAATTATGAATGTGAAAAAAAGTATTGGGAAAAAGTCTATTAGTAATATTTTTCAGTAAAAAAAAAATGAGAGGAGATCATTACACTTGATCAGCTGTGCCTTCTCTGGAAGCATATTAAAGAAAGAAGTACTCGGTTAACACCTCAGATCAAGTTACATGAAATAATGTGCCTTATGAAGCAGGATAGAGATAAACAAAATACAGCTTGTAGGCCAAAAATAGCCTAGTTTTTCCCAGCTCTGCATTCCATCTGTCAAAACAAGGTAGATGGCATTCATCAGATACCAGCACTGCTATATAGTYGGACTGATCCAATCATTTTCTGATGGACTTAGTTTTATCATCCACAATAATAATCAACCATCAGTTAATGGAAATTTGCATGAATATGTACATAAAGGAGCCTCTGGCCATTATCACCAGCCCATTCTTCCTTCCCTTCTGGAAACTGAGGTCAGAAACGTTCACATCCTCTCTCCACCACTCTAAGAGCTTGACTTAACTCTTCTTAAAACCTTCCCTGATCTTCCTCCTGGTCTTCCTCCTCTCTTGGGAAACATCCCCACCCTTCATAAAAACTTCAGGGACCCAGCTAACAATGGCTGAACACTATTACAAGCTGGG